TAAACTGAGCCATGAAAGAATAGGTAGGAATTAGCTAAATTAGGTGTTGGTATTGTTGTGGGGGGAGGAGCAGTGAGGAAAGCTGAGGGCACAGGTTCAGACAGAGGACACCTGCATATAGTCCACAGGGACCTGCAGGTCTGTAGGAAAGGGAGAGTGATGAGATGAGGCTGCCAGGGCAAGGGAGAACCAATATTCAAAGCCATTTAAAGGCCTTTTACCATACTAAGGAGCTAGGATTTGGGGGGAGAGCCACTGAAGGAATATAAACAGGGAGCAACATGATCAGAAGTGATCAAGTGGCTTCAATGTAGGGTGTGGATTGAAGGTGGGCAAGACCAATAAGTAGACTAATTAGGAAGCTACTGTAAGAACAGGTTGATGACCAAGAGCTATATAGTGGCAGTGAAGATGGAGAAAAAGAAAGATTTGAAAGATATTGAAGATGCAGAAATTAAATTCCTGAACCCTCATTTCATGTCTGGAATGTAGGTGAGGGAGAAAAATTAAAGTTTATTCCTAGGTTCTTGCTTTGATCAGTTAAGTGGTACTAGTCACTGAGAGAGGTAATACAGGAGCAAAGAAGGCTGGAGGAGCAAGGAATGGAGAAAGGGATGATTTATACTGGGGACCTACTGATGTCCAGTAGGTCACTTAGTAGAGAGATTTTGAGCTCAGGAGAGAGATCTAAACTAAGACCCAGATTTGGGACTTGCCAGTCCATAGATCACTGAAACAAGGGAGTAGATGGAATTCCCTGGATACAATATGTGGAGCAAGAAATAGATCTAGATGGCTACACTTAGGAGATCCTTCAGAAACACTACCACTTAAGGGGAAACCTGGGGAAGAGGAATCTGCATTAGAGACTACAAAGTTGCTGACAGAGGAACAGGAAGAAAATCAAGAGGATATGACAGAATGGAAGCCAAGTGCATTAGCCATGCTGAAAGGTGGAGATCAAGTAAAACTAGGCATAACAGTATCAATTAGATATTTGAAGAAAGTAATTGATAACCTAAGTACAAATCCTGACAGTGGAGTTTCACGAGTTCAAACCAGAAATGCATGGGAGGTGAAAAGTAGAGGTAGGTAATATAGTGACAGCCAATTCATGGGTTGCCCTTTTCATTGTTTCAACATGATTGCTATGAATTTATCTACTATTAATAATGAAAACTGAATATATTCTTTAAATATGCCTTTTTATATTAAATTCTGGGTATTTCTTGCAATCTTCTTGTATATATTACTGCTTTCCTTCAGAAATAGTGAGACCTTCTGAACAGATGGGTAACCTGAAGATATTTCTATGAAAAAAATAGTAGAAAAAGAAATCTAAGAAGTTTAATGATTGTATTTTTTCCTACAGCTGTATTTCATATAAATGCACATCTAATGATTTCCCTTTTAGAAGTTGGTTTCTAGGGAATGAACCATATAAACTAACAAGAGCTTATCTTTTAAAGATATGGCAGAATTTTCTCATTTTATTTTAAGGCAATGCTAGAAAAATGCATCTTATTCCATTATACCAAAACCAATATCCTGAAATGCTTAGATTGAAGTACAGAGTTGTGTTAGTGTGTTTCCCAGGATTCAAAAAACAGTTAAAATCAATAACAGGAGACTCGTGAGGGCTTTTGCTTTGGTTTTTCCTCTCTGGAAATGAGATTATGGGATCTGTGACAATCTTGAACTCTCAAACTATATAATAAATACCCAGAGGGTCACCTGGAGAACATGAAAATTTCTGATAATTTAGAATTGGGATTTATTGACTAAAAGATTACCAAACTAGGATCATACAGATTTCCTCTGCAAAATGCAACTTATATTTCCTGCTCTGTACTTTGTTATGTGATTTCCTTCAGCCAGACTATCTCCTTATATCTTCTTCACTTTCCTCCATTTCTCTTGGTATCCATCAAAGTCCAGATTAAATACCACCTATTCTATTACGTTACTAGACTTACTAGGTACATACAACATAGAATATATGCTGTTTTATATGGAAGTTATTTGCACACTTATTTCTAGTTAAATCATAAGCTTCTAGAGCTATATCTTATTCCCCCATGTTGCCTAGCATGATACCCAGCATATGATTGTCACTATATAAATATTCATTTATTATACTTATATGCCAGGTATTAAAATTGTGTCTAGAATTAAAAGAATTCTCTTTTTTTCTGCCTAGCCAAAAAATAGAAGACCATAAAAAGGGGCAAAATTTCCTCTTTTGAGTTCCTAGTCATTCAAAATTTAGAATTCATCCAGGTGTAAGCAGAAACAATTATGTGTACCTAGTGGCTGCAAGTTTCTCCTGCAGAAAATAAGATTAGGACAAGCAAAAACATTCATTTGTTTTAAAATTTCTCTTATTTCTAAGGGTTCTCTGAATATTTTTATCTGCTAATTACGATAGAAGGCTTCTTATAGGATTAGTCGTTGGTTCAATAAGTTGATAAGCTTGTTTAAAGCAGAAAGGCATTAAAGAAGTGTGTTAGAGGCTATAATTTAAAACATACATATAATCATTTACCAATATTTTTTATTTTTTATTTATTTATCTGAGACAGAGAGAATGAGAGAGACAGAGAGCACATGAGAGGGGGGAGGGTCAGAGGGAGAAGCAGGCTCCCTGCGGAGCAGGGAGCCCGATGTGGGACTCGATCCCGGGACTCCAGGACCATGACCTGAGCCGAAGGCAGTCGCTTAACCAACTGAGCCACCCAGGCGCCCTACCAATATTTTTTAAAGGTTTATTTATTTCAGAGGGAGGGAGAGAAAGAGAGAGATAGCATGAGGTGGGGAGGGGCAGAAGGAGAGGGAGATAAATCCTCAAGCAGACTCTGTGATGAGTCTCCATGGAGCCCCATGGACCCTGAGATCATAACATGAGCCAAAATCAGGAGTCAACGCTTAACCAACTGAGCCAACCAGGTGCCCCTCATTTACCAATATTTTTGAGAAAAGGCCCGTTCTTTGACTATGTACCTGGTATTTGGAGTGTACTCTTCTTTTTCTAACATAAATTACTGTAATGCATTATCTACTGTTCACAATGTTGGTTCTTAAATAAGAGTGTAATTCTAAAGATGCTTGAAGTAACCTGAGTATAGACTCTTTCTAGATTTTTATGTTTATTGACCACCCCAGGCTTATTTAATGACTCACCTACATGGAGTCTTTCCAAAGCATTCAAGATAGATTTTATACAAGTAAGTCCCCTTTTGTTTCACAGTCATGTGTAATTATTTTATTTATAATTTAGTTAAATTGTGTAAGATGATAACAATGGGCACAATTTGGGGACAACTACAACTGATTCTTAACAAGTAGCAACTCAGCTGGTTGGAGCAGAGGTGTTTGAGGCATACGAGACAGAGGTGCAAGTTAGCTGCTAGTGCTGGCATTTAGCATGACATGGACAGTACTACTGTGTTTTACATAGAATGGAGAATAACCATTACTCTGGTGAACTACTTAAATGGAGAGCAAAGAGATCTTCTACTATACTCCTATGTTATACTAATATCTTTCTGACATTGTTCCACAGAAAAGTTTAGGGGTACATATTTTATTCAGAATTAAATATCTTCATCCTGTGTGTTAGCTGAAGGACAATGGAGTTAAAGGTAAGGGGAGGGGTGCCTGGGTGGCTCAGTCGTTAAGTGTCTGCCTTCGGCTCAGGTCATGATCCCGGGCTCCTGGGATCGAGTCCCGCATCGGGCTCCCTGCTCAGCCGGGAGCCTGCTTCTCCCTCTCCCACTCCCCTTGCTTGTGTCCCTCTCTCACTGTGTCTCTCTCTGTCAAATAAATAAATAAAATCTTTAAAAAAACAAAAACAAATACTCAGGTTTAAAAAAAAAGGTATAGGGGAAAGAAGGATAAATAAAATTTGCTAAAAAATAACTTTCTTTGCTCAATGTGTTGATTCAGGAAGAGCTACCAAAGGCCTATAGAGAGAGAAAAAATAGTATAATACCATCTAGGCTATTTCAAGTGTTTCATTTCTGGATTTATAATGATTTTTATGAAGAATTCGTAGGAATACTTCATAAAAAATTTTTGAAAGAATGAGACGGAGGAGGGAATAGAAAAGTTGGGAAAATAAATTTATTTTTGCCTTTTGGAAATTGATTATGAATAGTATCATGAGCCTCTCACTTTTGTGACATAAAATATCAGAATGAGAGTGGGGAGTTAAATCAGCTAAGAATATTCTGGAGATAAAATTATAGAAAAGGGTAGGAGGAAGGACCTCTGTAGTAAGGTTGGATTTTGTCTTCACACAATAACTAAGATGGAACAGTTCTTAGATATCACTTAATCTGGCTATTCATTCGAATTACACACACAGAAAAAAAATTTTTTAAATCAATTTCTTATAGGTCATCCCAATCCTCTTTCTTAATATGGAGATCTTAATTCAGTTACTCTAGTATTTAAATATCTCTCTCATTGTTTTCATATTTATTTCATTATTATTTTTGGTAATGTGATAATTACAAAGGGAGGACATTTAGAATAATTTTCAGAAAATACCTTTCTTATCATTTTACTGTAAAAAATAACTGGTTCAAGGAAGTTTTTGACTTAGTGTAATATTGTGAAATCCAACTACTCATTTTCAGGACTATTTTTGATCCCTCAGAAACCCTGTTTGAGCCAGCTTGCCTGTGGATCTTTTTTTTTTTTTTTAAGATCTTAAGCACATTCCTTAAAATATTAAGACACACTCAAAAGAATTCCATCCTATACAAATCTATTGACTCACTGGCTAGATGTAGGATATTTGTTTTGCTATTGGAAGATAAAAACTAGAATGAAATTAAGTGAAAATGTAAGCAATACTGTTTCTGGGTTTTTTCCATGTTAAAATTCTGCTTAAGTAGGTTTTTGGTAGGTTTGAATTTCACCTAGAAAAGTAAAATATTATGGAGTTTTTCTGAGTGTTAAGTTTGCCTTCACATTTTGATGTTTTGCTTTTCCAGGGTTTTGAAGGTGTTTCTTTCACGAACAGCCCAGCGGATTCCATATATGACTGGTGGACGGGTCATGAGGATGCTTGCAGTAATACTTCTGGTAGTATTCTGGTTTCTTGTTGGCTGGACTTCATCTGTTTGCCAGAATTTGGAGAGGCAGATTTCACTTATTGGCCAAGGGCAAACATCTGATCACCTCATCTTCAATATGTGCCTCATTGAGCGCTGGGATTACATGACAGCAGTCGGTATGTGGTCACTTGGTTTGTGCGGATGGCTTGTCCTTTCTCCAGTGGCATTAAAACAGACTTCTTTAGAAGCCTTACCACACCCTTTCACAAAACTGAAAGGGATTTCACCTAATGTGGTTTGGGTAAAACAATGTTATGAGAAGGACAGTAATGACATATGGAATGCAGACTTTTTCTGAGTTTCCATTCTTTTTCAAAGGTATGTAGCTTTGTAGCTTTGTTGAGAAAATGTAATCGAGTAAATCAGGAAAGAGAAATGCAGCAAATAAGAGCAACTTCTTCATACAAAAAGACTTCTGTTTTGCATCTTATCAGTGTGTTCCCATTTGATTAACAATAGCTATTCTCTTGACTTATTTCTTTAGTTGGGAGAAAAAAAGGAAACATGCTGGTATTTTTTATATAGTTTTGGTCCTGCGATATTTCAGACTTGGGATCCAGGGCACTCTTGGTGTAGAGATTTTCCCTGCAAACTTTTTAACTAATCTATCATTCTTCTAAAGATAATTTATTAGGAATTCTCTGGAGGTCCAGTATTACACAAAAATGAAGCTATGCTCCTTGGGATTAGTTAGAGAGAGTTCTGTGACTGAGAAACGGAAAACTTGGGGGAATCACATGACAACTTAGGCCAGAAGCACAGGTTTTTCTAATACCCTGGTTTTGTGAAAAATGAGGAAGAGAAATCAATAGGAATTTTTCTGTTGTTAACATTAGGCTATTTTAAGCCAGGCCTCTAAAGATACAAAAAATAATGAAAACAAATTTTTATTATTTTGTTGTCATTCCCTTCAGTTAACCACAGAACAAATCTTATTTTTTACTTAGCAGATGTCAAAAATAAACACGTGAGTCTAATTCCTATTTTCTGTCTCCCCCATATTTGGCAGTTGTTGGTTGAATATTCACATTTAGTATTTTGCTAGAAGTTAATAAAAGGTGTATTTAGTGTATAATTCAAATGTAATATTTTTCTGGGCGAGATATTTTAGGAATTTTATTGGTCTGATATCTGTAATAATAAAGCAAAGTGGGTATGTAAAAGGAATGATTATAATGATTATATGTAAAGCCAACCATCATTATTTTGATCAATATCAAAGAAGAATCAAAAATATCAGTAGATATAAATATCAGAAGATAAAACATAGAACTAATCTGATTCTGACTTTAGTGTAGATATGAAAAGTAAATAAATTGTATAGATACAAAATTTCTACTCAGTAGAAACCTCTAACATTATTTTACATTGTTCAATCCAAATTAACCAAACTAGGAAAAATCACTTTCCCGTATTACTGTGAAGAAAAGCCCACTATATTTATTTTCTGTTTTATAATACTCAAAATATATGATGAAGCATCATTGGGTAAGGAATAAACAAGCAGAAAGCATGGCCTATTTACCTAGCATTTTTTTTTATTTTGTACACCTTGGTTTTGAGATATATTTAAGGCCTTTTAAAAATTTCTTTTACACTCTGAAGGAAACCACATTCATGATCCTGATCTCTATGTAGAAATAAGTAGGAATGTATAGCTGACAGTAACCTGCAATTTATTTTATATAAACTTTCTTTATATATAAGTAAAAGTTTCATATAATAAACAAGACCCACTGAGTATCATTTCTCTAGTGCTGTGTTGAATACTTTGCAGGAGACATAAAATGTATAAAATTTTTGTTCCTCTCATCAAGGAGCTTACTACTGGTTTATATAAATGGGAATTGTTAAAAATTATTAAAAAACAAAATTATGTAGTAAAGACTCTTGGTACAATAGTAGTTCAATAAAGGAAGACAACACTTTGGACCAGAATCCAGGAATCCTTAAAGAGAAGTTCTCTGAGCCATGGGTAACACTTAGGTTATTGTAAAGTGGTACAGAGAACATTCTCTTTAATAGGAATAGTGGTGGAAGTGGATGGAAATTATATGAAACGTGAAGGAAATGCCCAACTTTAAAAGAAGATTATGTTGGACTACATTGTGATTAATTCTGGATAGTTAAGTTTATTGAATCTTGAAAACCTGTTATAGGAATTTGGAGAACTAGGAATGTGATGTGATGAATCAGTAAGGTCAATCTAGTAGGATCAATCTAGATTGCCTTTAGGAGGTGTGTGTGTGTGTGTATGTGATGTGTGTGTGTATCTTTACGGTATATATGTATATATATGTATGGTATATATATGTATATCTGTAGTATATATGTGTATGTGTGTATCTCTATCTATCTCTCTCTATATATGCACTAAATTCATAGGTTTGGGAAGAAGAATCATTAGAATGGAGAAAGAGCGGTGGTTCTCAAAAGTGTGGTCTCGGAACCAGCGACAGCAGCAACACCTGGGAACCTGTGAGAAATGCACATTCTTGGGCCTATCTACAGACTTCCTTGGTCAGACACTGGGATAATGGGGCCCAGCAGTCTGTGTTTAACAAGCCCTCTAGGTAATTCTGATGCTATTCTAAAGTGTAGAACTACTGACTCAGAGGAAGTAAATCAGATGAACTTACTAGAACATACATCACTTAACTGTGCTCTGGGCACTCCATAATACTCTGTTTCCCTGATCAATCACTAGAACATTCTTCAAAATGATTATTTCAAGTCTTGTAGCATATCCCCTCTTGACACCTCCCAACTATCCATGTTCCTCTTTTCTCTTAAAAAAAGTAGCAGACATCAGTTGTCTTCCAATTCTTGTCTACATATCTACAAATCTTCCTATATTCCTACCCATTCTTATTCACACCCCCCCCATTACCTAAACTCCTGTGCCACACTCATCCAACTTTAAACCCCTTATGTCCAGACCTGTCTCACTTTATATGACTGTCTTATCATCTGAAATGCCCCTACCTCCCAAATCTCTCACTGAAGAATTCTATTCTGACCACAACTTTCTCTCTTAGGTTATTTGTTTAAGTACCACATCTGCAATAGCTCTTTAGATTCATGGGCTATTTTTAATTGTACTTTACTGCCACTACATTCTGCTTTCCTCCAGAGAGACAGCTTACCAGGTAGCAGGTTTTTCCACTAGCAAAGATGAAACTATGAGAAAAGTAGGCATTTTTAATACAGTAATTCTGGATCATACCAGAAAAGGGGTGCACAGAGAGCAAGGAGGATCCTGAGCTCACCTTCCTGAGGAGCCTCAGGTAGGTAGTACAAGAGAGAATAGCTTGTGGTCCATAACTTGAGAGGGCTACAGGGAATGCAGTTCCTTGGACAATAAGCAGGTCTCAGTTAATGTAAGAAGAGAGAGAAGCTAAGAGGAGAGCTTGATTATTATGATGGGAAGATCTAGATCATGGCTTTAGGAGTGAGATAAAATTAGCAAAACTTGAGAGGCAGGCATTAAACTAATAGTCCCACAGGTGTTAAATGATAACATTAGGGTCTCAGAAAATAAAAGACTAGTGATAAGTTGCAGAGACAAAGAGGTGAGAGGAAGTGAAATGGTGGTGGTGGTGGTTTTGTTATCTCCAGGCACTGTTTCCATCCTATAAACTCCTGGAACACCTTCATTTCAATAATACCCTTTTTCCTGCAGTGACACCTTTCTCTGAAGAAAAGTTGAGACACATGGTTTAAAAACAGGAACAAATATTTGAAATTAGGACTGTCTTAAAAAATCAGAGACATGTGGTTGCTGTGATTTTTTTTCACACTACCCTACAGCAATTCCATTTATTTATCTTTCGTGTATCTTTCATTTTTCTTTCTAGTGCATGTAGCACTAGATATTCTGTATTTAACCTCTCTTAATTTAATGTTTTCTAATGTGTGGTAGATGCTTCTTTTCAGTTCTCTTTATATATTTCTGTAAGTAGCATGTTTGCCCTCAGATTTTTTTATACTCAGACTTATTCAAGAATAAACTCTTGTATCTTCAGTCAGCCAAGAATAAACCTGTACCAAAAGCTAAATTATTCCATTTCCTAAATGGAAATGCTTCTACATAGGGGACAGGCTGCAGAGAAGCAATAGATAGGTTTTACCTTGAGGTGCAAAACTTTGTCAGGAAGCTCTGTACACTTACATTAGTGTCAGGAGTCAATTTAGAAAAGAAGAGAAAGTGATGGTTAATATATTTATAAACATGCATTCTGGATTAGCTTTACCTGTCGGAAAGGATCTATTTTTTAAAAATACAAATTGAAGAACCATTTGAAAGAGTGCAATACTAGTCTTCCCACTGAAGTAGAACTCTATTTAGAAATATGGGTCATAAATGTAAAAGATGGGTCTGTTCTGTTTTGCTTACTGCACAGGGCACCTCCAAAACTGCTCAGACAGCTGATTTGCCTGCCACAAGTGTTTCAGACAGGAAACAGGTTTAGAAACTGCTTGGAAAAATCTCCGAACTCCTATGAGACTCAGTTTCTTCTTTGAAGAAATATGTGAAAACAGAAAGGGGGAAAAGATGACTTTCAGAATCCCATTGTTATTTATATATATTTTAATTTTCAATTATCATGTTTGTCCTATATAAAAAATTGTGAGGTCAGCTTTAATGGAAAACGGATAAAGGTGTAAACACTGCGACCTTAAAAGACAGGTGAACATGGGGCAATGTTTTACAGGCCCAATAGTCTGGGGCTTTTTTAATGATTTTTTTTTTTAATCTGGTGGAAAATGAACTTCAAAATGTGAATGTTCCAGAGTATTTCTAGACTAGAGTTCCTATAAAGACTTAAGCTGCCATACCTCTTTGAAAATCATCTATAACTATAATAACTATAATAGTATAGTACTATAATACTGTAGTACTTATACTATTCATCATCACGTGGCTCAGCACTTTGAATTTTTCTGAGTATGTTTAAGTACATTATCTGCCGTTCATATTCTTATATCTGCTCACCCCTCTTTCTCTCCCAATCTGGTAGCTCTAACACTTCTCAACAACATTACCTAGATTGTTCTCAGTATATCCCTGACAACTAACAAAGTATCTGTCAGCTCTTGATAAATATTTGATGAA